TGGTATACCTGTTTTTGTGGATTACTAGGATGAGCAGGATGAAATTCTGTACGAACCGTGTACAATTTCCCAACGGAAAGGGACAAGAGTCGTGCGATCTCGAGCGAAGGACAACAAATTTTGGAGATCACTCCACCTGTCCTGCGAAGGACGCATTTCTTGCTGGAAACGTACAAAATATGCAGAGATTCGCCCAAAGTTGAGCCAGAAGATGGAACGAAGAGAGAGGAACGATAGCAGCTTTTACGTTGACGCCGTGTATCATCATCATCTAGAGCTTCTCTCTCGCATTGCCGTTGACGTTGTTGTCTAGCGAAACGCCATGAAGATGGCGTGAATAGCTGTCTCATCACGCGTTTCTCACACGTTAAAACAGAAGACGAAGAAGAAGAGGGAAAAGACGGATGGGTCGGGTTGCGTTGTTGGGCTTAGCTGAATGGGAGTAAAAAAGTTGGGCTTGAAGAAGGAAATAAAATAAAGGTGAAGTGAATTTTTATATTTTAGTTGGATTGTGAGGGAATTGGGCCGGGGATAGAGTTTTGGGCTGCGGAAAATCTAAGGAAGACCCAAACTTAGTCTTTTAGCTAAATGCTACCATTTTAGTCAAACTAAAATTGTAGACGGTCAATTTGATTAGATAAGACGAATTAATCAAAACTAAAAAGCTTCTTAAGGTTAACAAAATAAAATAATTATTTTGAAAATAAACTAATATTTCAAAATATGAGCTAAAATGCTTAAACAAATATTCGTCAACAAAATGATACTATCACTATTATACTTTTTCCGATTTTAAATATTCGTAAAATTGAAATGATCATAAGAATAAATATGCAAGATAATACGATAGTTAAAAACAATAGAGACAACGTCAAACCTTATTTAAAATAACTCGCAATTCAAAATTTATTTGTTACTGTTGTTTTCATTATATATATATATATATACACACACACACACACAAATTTATAAAATAAATTATTTAAACTCGAGAAGCTTGCTAGTTAATTACCTATCGAGGCGGACCAAAATTTAGGTGTCAACAAATATGTTTCCCTGTTATGGTTAAATTTTAGATTTAGTTTTATATTAATATATTTTCCTATTATGTTAAACATCAGATTTTTGTTCTGTAATAATATATTTTCCTATTATGGTTAAAGTTTAGATTTAGTTATATATTGACATATCTTCCTATTATAGTTCAATTTTAGATTTAGTTTTATATGAACATATTTTCTTATTATGGTTAAGTTTTAGATTTAGTTTTGTATTAACATATTTTTTCATTATGGTTAAACTTTAGATTTAATTTTATATTATTATATTTTCATATTATGGTTTAACTTTATATTTGTTTTAATTATTAAAATATTTTCCTGTTATGATTAAATTTTAGAATTAGATCTATACTAACTTATTTTCCTATTATGGTTAAATTTCAGATTTAGTTTTATATGAACTTTTTTTTTTACTATGGTTTAAGCTTTAGATTTAGCTTTATATTAATATATTTTCCTATTATGGGTAAACTTTAGATTTAATTTTATATTAATATATTTTCAATTATGGTGTAATTATTAACATGTTTTCCTATTATGGTTAAACTTTAGAATAAGATCTATATTAACTTATTTTCCTATTATGGTTAAATTTCAGATTTAGTTTTATATTGACATATTTTTCTGTTACCATTAAATGTTAACTTTAATTTTATATTAATATATTTTCCTATTATGGTTTTTAGATTACTTTTATATTAACATTTTTTTAATTATGATTACATTTAAGGTTTATTTTTGTTAATGCAAATGGAAACTTTGATTTGCTTTTTACACAAAAAATTTCTATCTACAAGTTAATAAATTATAAAATTGATTTCCCTTACTAATTTTATCTATAATGAAGATATTATTTTTATTTATAATAGAAATTTAGTTATGTGCCACTTGATAAAAAATTTAATGTATATAAATAGTCGCGATATCGTCTTCTCATAAGTATCATTTACTAAAAGCATTTCATAAATCGTGTTTTATCAATTAGCCATGGAGAATAAGAAGACTAAAGGACGTCAAAAGATACCAATGAAAAAAATAGAAAATGAAAAGGCCTTGTTAAGTTCATTTTCAAAGCGCCGTAATGGTTTGTTCAAAGCAGCGAATAATCTCGTAAAAAAATTTGATGTAGACATTGGAATAATAGTGTTTTCTCCTACTGGTAAGCCTCATTCATATTTTCATCCTACAGTTGATGCAGTCATTTCTCGTTTTCAGAATCCTGATATGCAGTTAAGTGATGAAACTCACCTGGCCATGATTTTTGCTCGAAATTCGGTGAATCAACTCGAAAAAAAGCTTGAAGAACTTGACATCCAAGAAAAAATTGAAATTGATCGAACAAATTATCTTGACCAAATGACAGAAACTAGACAGAAAGGTTGGTGGGAATCAATTGAGCAACTTAATGAAGATGAAGTGTCCAAGTTTGAAGAATGGTTGAATGTTGCTAGTTTTACTATGCACTACCGTTTGAACCAATCAATTGTGTCATCCTAATTGGAATGTGAATCTTGTGGAGTGTTAAGTTTGAATGAAATCACTCATAAGTTATCTTAGGTTATCAAATCCAGGTTGAGGGTTTCAATTCAGGTTTTAGGATTTAGTTTTTAGAGTTCAGAATCAAGTCAGGGTCATGGTCAAAATCAATATTCGGCGCTAGAATCAAAATTCAGGGTTTAGGTTCAAGGATAAGGTTTAGGGTCCTAGAAAGTTCAAATTTATATTATTGAGATGTTGAATTTCTGTTTTGCCTTTTATTTTATTTTAATAATATTACAATCATGTAAGTTGCTATGATTTTCATTAATAATATCTGATCTAATTGTTTATATTATTTTCTCATTTAAATAAACGAACATTCATATCTCTTTTCGATTTTAGCTTTGGATTATTTTTCAAATTCAACTCAAATGTTGTCAAACCTTATCATATGCATTATTATAATTAAATCAAAATATTTAATTGAACCAAACTTCTTTTGTTATTTGGTTTAGGATTATAACTTTTTTAAAAATAATTTATCAATTGAATTGTTGTATCATGTTCTATATCTATAAAACTAGTGGAAAGTTGCTCATGCTTTGCAGGAGCCCAATGACTTAGTATTAAAAGTTGAATGTGCCATTAATTAAACTTCATCGCTAATTTGTTGCTTCATACTAAATGAAATGATAATTACAATCAGAAGATTGTTGCATAGAGCATGAAATTTATCTAATTTCCTTATAAATAACTAAATAAAAAAACATAACATACAAATGTTGTCCCCAAAATTTAATTAGAGCCTCAGTTACTCCATTTTTTAAAACCATAGTGTTGCTTGTTGCATATCGGTTGTACCATTATCCTCACTATGCTATTAAGTACATTTGTCTTTGCAGGTTGGTGCAACATATCTTGTCTAACCAAAATTGTCTAGGCTACTTTCTTCCATTGTTTCGGACTTCTTGCTGAAATTGTTTTAACCTCTAACTCTCTCAAGAGAGTGAATTATACTTTGTTTGTCATCTGTAAATTTAAGAAAAAAATAGTTTTACTTTAAAATAGTTGAAGACGATTTATGTGGTGTATAAGTGTGTAGTTAAGAATTGAATAATAAATGGCAGGAGGGGAGGGGGTAATAATTTTTTTTAAAAAAACAATATTCTTAAACTATGTGAAATTGAACAAAATAACCCTGTTAATAGATTGGTCAATTGGTCTAAAATGCTCTAGCTTGTCATCATAATTTAGTTTTAAAAATGTCTTTGCTACTAGTAAGTTTTATCAGAAACACCCACATCGTTACTTAAGGGATCAAAAATGTTATTTTTTTTTAAAAATAAATATATTATTTCTAGACTAAACTATTAGTAACAGGGGCATTTTGAACCAAATTATTAACAGTAAAAATATCTTTGACCAAACTATTAAACGGAGACATTTTTGTTCAATTTCACATAGTTATCTTTCAATAAAATTAAAGAGTTTCAAAAAGAAATATTGTATTCCTAAATATTTGTACTCACTATTATAGAGCTACCTGTGATTCTTATGCCGATTAGATATAAAATAGAAAAACTAAGGGTTTGTTTGGTCATGCGATACGAAATTATAATATGTAATTATGAGATGATTTTGAAGTTTTGTTTGGACATACGATTTAGACTTTCTAAGTTATATGTTTTTTCATAAACATACAACCTCCATAAGTTATAAAACTATCAAAATTGTCCCAATTGTTTATACTATCTTACCAAATAAAAGTTTATGAAATCGCACTATACTATATTACAAAGCTATCCTAAAGAATACAACATTTACTGGTCAAACCTTAATTCAATACAAAAAAATTGAATTAGTAGCTAAAGAAATTATTTTTGCAAATAAATGCCAAAGTGATTAGTCTCGTCCACTCAATATAATTATGAAATTCTTATTATGATGAATCATTGATTTGAATGAAATAGTAATAAATTTAATAAAAAAGTAATGAATTTTGTGAATATAAATAGTAAATTAAGTATGGATTGGAAATAAAAAATAACTTTATACTGGAGCTAATAAATGTTATAGAGATATAAATGGCTTAAAAAGAAATGATATGAATTATAAGTTGTATTAATATATGAAACGAATGGCTAGTAGATATATATATAAATTAAATATGTGTTATTTTTACAAAATATAAACTTGTGGGTTAATTTATGTATTTGAAAAATCTCAAATCATAATTTGAAATTTTCAAATCATGATTGTTTGAGAATCTAGAATTTCATCGCGCGATGAAATTATAAAATAAAATCAGCATGAAATCGCATACCCTTCGATTTCATAATTTCATGTCATGATATGAAATCACATTTCCTTTTATTTCATAATTTCGTATAATAATATGAAATCGCATGATCAAACGCCTAAGGGGATAACAAATATGATATTTTATGCCTTTTAAAGATATAACTACTAGAGGTAATTCAAGTCATCGAAATCCAAAATAATAGTGAAATTGATAAATTAGTATAATAAATTAAGGTCTGAATCAGAGGATAACCTTGTTAGTGTCCGCCTTATCATTATCATATTGTTGTTCAATACCGCCCTTCGGGGTGGAGGGTGCGGATAGCAAACCTAGCGTGCCCAAAATATTCCGGTGAGCAGGACCAGAGTTAGGCTAAGAATTGATGCCGAACAAAATGACAGTCGATGTCTACATGTTTGATGCATTCGTGAAAAACAGGGTTCTTGAAAATATGTATAGTAACTTGGCCATCTCAATGAACAGAAACAGGCAATGAAGGATGAACAGAGAGATCTTCGAGTAAACGAACAAGCCAAAGTGATTTCAGCAACAACTGGAAGCATAGAGCGATACTCGGCCTCAACCGAAAAAAGAGAGATAGAGGGTTGTTTCTTTGATTTCAAAGATATAGGATTCCCTCCAAGAGTAAAAAAGAACCCACTGATAGAACCACGACTTTCTGGGCAGGTCTCCCAATCATCATCGCAAAAAGAGAGTAATTTGAAAGAAGGGGAATACGATGGAATAAACCAAGCCTTGGACCCAGAAGAACATAGAGAATGACATGGATTGCAGCATCAAGTTATGGTTAGCGTGGTTGTTGCATATATTGACTCAAATGTTGCACAGAAAAGAATAAATCAGGATACATATGTGTAAGAAAATTAAGCTTTCCAATCAACCTTCGATATAAATTAGGATTAGGTGATAAAACACCCTCTCCAGCTTTTAATAGATTAGATGGATCCAAAGGATAAAGGAACTGGTCGAAGATGAAGGCAATCAAACTCTGTCAATAATTCCATTGCAAACTTCCGCTGAATCAGAATTATCCCATGAGGCTTATGGAGTACCTCAATCCCCAAAAAATAATGTAAATTTTCCAAGTCTGTGATTTTGAATTCAGCATAAAAAAACCCCCCTTAATAGCATGTATGTCATCAACATCATTTGCTGTCAAAAAAATGTCAACATATGCTGCCAACAAAATGATAGCAAACCCATTTTATTTAGAAAACAGAGAATAATCATAATAAGAGTGTTTATGACACTTGAAATTGAGTGTCGAGGTCAATTTAGAATACCATTGGCGTGAACCCTGCCAAAGTCCATATAATAATTTTTTGAGTTTGCAGACAACAGTAGGACAAGGGCTTTCAAAATCACGGGAAAACTTCATAAATATCATTTCATCTAAATCGCCATGTCGGAAAGCATTGTTCACATCATGTTGGAATATCCCCATCGATTAGTTGTTATCTTCACGACATGGCTAAAGAATTTAGTAAAATCTATCCCCTTCCTCTGTATGTTCCCCCCGTGTAACCAACCTTGCTTTTATTTTCTCAAGTGTCCCATTTGACTTCAACTTCACCTTGTTTTACTAAGTTTCAGAAAATATTATATTTTATGTTTTTAACTTTTTAGAGTCGTCACTTAATTTTTGGAGAAAAATCAAAAAAATTATTTTTCCATTTGATCAAAAATAGGAAAACCAAATTGAAAGATTTTTTGGAGGGGGAGGAGGTTCGGGGATTCTCATTTATATTTTAGAAAGGTTTTACGACACCTAATATATTCACCAACTTGTGATTTTACGGCAACTAAATTATATTACTAAAAATAATTTTAACTTGATAAATGAAACTAAACATAGCGAGAAACCTAACTTGCAAATTTTATTATTTTAAAACTAATCAGATTTTGAATTCATTTAAAATTCTTTCCAAAAGATGGGACAAAATCAATCTATTATCTAATGAGTTGCCTATTTCGCAAATGTTATTTGTTTATCATTTTTACGTCTATTTAGAGACGGTCGATTTAGTTAAGATAGTTAAAACATAAAGGCATCTTACGAGGTATTTTGAACTTTTTTAACCCTAAAACTAACGGCAATTAATAACACAAGTAAATAAGCAGTAAAGTGAGAGAGAGAAAAAGAGAGGGTCGAGTCCAAATTCGATTTCTGTGCACGTGAATCGATATTTGGATCCCTTTGTTTTTGCTTTAGGCCTTGGGCCTATTTGATTTGTATCTGTCCTAAACTACTAAGATAATAATATACAAAAGGACTTGGGCCACAGAAAAATAAAATACAATATTTCCATGATAATTTGGACCACTTCTTCAAATCTCCTACTTCTTGACCTTGCAACTTCGGGACCTGTGCGCCGATTTCCGATGAACCTAACTCAAATTTTAAAGAATATGGCCGATTTGCGATAATGAAGTTTGGGTTTTAAGCAACCCGAAATGCATAGGAGATTTGGATCCAAAAGATTCCATCGACGCTCACATGTAACAAGAATGAATATATGAAATATATAGGTAACAAGTCATTATTTAATGAATATAATAATATGTATAGAAAAAAACTAAGGGAGGGATCATGTTCCGTTATCTCAACTGCCAAACATTATGAAGGGACAATAATTCAGAGGATCCACCCCATGATACAATCCATTAAAATTTGCCAAAACACGTCACCACTCATAAAATTAAATGGTAGTAGCAAATTTGGTGAACAAAACATAATATGTGAAATTCCAAATCCTAACTTGTCTAATAAACCCCATGAAAGGAAAATCAAGACGCAAAATATATGTGTCATAAACTTGCACATAACTCAAAATATGCAGAAAACAATAAATTAATACCAATTTTAATTAATGAACAAGGCTATTGTGACTTAGAGATAGAGGGGATATACAGGTAAAAGGGACTAATTAAAATGATAAGCAAAAATTTCCAGCAATAAGCATATAAACTATTACGGGACAACGATGATCAACATGATGCAAACGGGTCAACATTTCACAGCGGATTCCTCCTATCATAAATTAGTATTTCCCAACTCAAGGATGAAACAATATAAGACCAATAAAAAAAACTAAAAATCCCAGAAATTATAAACAACCAAAATCAATTTTATTATAACAAAGTAATGCATACATAAACAAAAACTTTTCTTCCTAGCAGACAAATAAACTCAAAATAGCTCAGGAGGATGCATATTGTATTCAGACACATTTAAGCAATTAAAGAAGAAAATACATGATATTAGTAAAAACTTTATACAAAACATATCAACAAAGAGAAAGACATTGGCCGGGGATTAATATATAATAGCCTAAAATTACATGATATCTCGAACTAAATTACTACAAAGATCTTAACATACCGACTTATCACTTCATACAACTTGATTTAACGCCAAAGTTTTGCAGCAAACAAAGGATGAAAAACGTATAGACACATTAAGGGGGGAGAAACATCAGATATGGAGGCAGAATATGTGTCAACAACACCAATCCCAAAAATTATAGAAACTAAATAGGCAGTTGAACCACGAGGGTTTGAGAACGGGAGGAAAACGAGCATTAGCACCAAACTAATAATCGATAATACAATATACATTTTCATCTTATTCTAAAGAAAAACAGTACTACCAGTAGCAAAATGAAATAAGAAAGAACAGAACTTTTGAGGCATAGGACCAGCAAAACACGATAAAAGATTTGGCCTAACTAAACAAATATGCAAGCAGAAATATCATAGCACAAGTCAGACCCTTCCCCCCAAAAAAAGAGAGGCCACACCGTTGAGCACAAATTCATGAAAAAAGTTTTTATTCTATTGAAGCTAACAGGATGAAACGACTAAGAACACACTCGTCATGTTAATGTGACCTCAAATAACCACTTGAAAATACATTGGGAAATAAGGAGATAAACTTCTTCAAACTAATGAATATGTAGCCAAAATGGGAAAATTACTTCAGTGAACTGAGTCAAGGTGATTGACATGATTAATTCAAGCTTGAGGCAAGCATGACAATCGCGCAATAGAAGAGGACATGGTCGGCGATATGAGCTTAAGCAAGTATTAAACCACTAAGAAAAAAAACACATACTAACATTAAAAAAAATGAAGGGAAAAACATAAATTGAACACATCGCAGAAACTCATCTTAGGATCTCGGAAGAACTACCCATCAAATCAACTCAAAAAGAGAAACCAAAGATTACGAGTTGTTTACCTTGTTGTGGGCGGCGACTGGACAAGACGAGCTAATACACAAAACAACCTTCACTTTCCCGTTATTCCAAGGACGGTTCTTGCGTGCTGCGATATCAGACGATAAAGAACGCTTTGAGGAAGAAAACAAAGTTGGAGTATACCGGCTTGATTTTCCTCGCTTTCCCGTTACGCTTGCCCTCGTTGCTCACGCGCCTGGGTTTCTTCCTTGGACTTGGCATATGGCCACGCGAGGAAGAAGAGAGATTGACGCGGGTCGGTTAATTGGATATAAGAAATTGGATTGAATTTTGATCTTATGAGATTGGGTTAGGGAGAAGTGGGCTGGGAGTGGGCCTTTTCTAGGAATAATTACATAGGGCTGGTTTCAATTTAGGGACGATTGGGCTGATGCAGAGTAGGACCAACACCTTGTCTTTTGAATAGAATTAAACGAATAGACTAAGGTTAATATAAAATGAATTTATCAACAAGCTTTTTTTTTAATTCTATCGAGATAAAATAAAATGACTTGGTTATAAATCGATGACTCAAAATATGAACTACTAATTCAGACAAAAGTAACCTAACAAAGTGTTAAGTAAGACTAAATTATTCTCATGTATCATCTAAAAATTATAAGTAGTAAGATTAACCTAGGATAATTTAAAACCATTTTATTTACATATATATATTTGTATGAATTTTATAGAATTTAATTATTTCAAATCGTTTAAAATAATTTATTTTAGGGAGTGTCAACACACCTTATACACCCATTTGCAAAGTAAATTTTTCTTCGCATGGGGTAAGTCAACTACATCCCAAGTATCATTGACAATCAGGGCATAAGTTTCCTTTGTCATGGCTTCTTTCCACCCAGGGTGTACAAGATATTTGGAATAACTGGTTGTTTCATTGATGTGGGAAATGGAGTTAAGTAAGTGCTGGTTGGAAGAGGAGATACTAAAAAAAGAAACAGAAAGAGGAGACACGGGTGACAAGAAACAGTCTAAGGAAACATTTGTTAAGAAAACTGGGTTGCAGATATAATCTTCTAAATAAGATGGGGTTTTAACCACTCGAGAGGATTTGCGCAAAATAAGAGGATTAATGGAAGGAACCTCAGTTGGAGTAGGAATATGAATCGGAATAGGAGGAGGCAAACCAGGAAACTCAGTTTCAAGATGAGGAAAGGACAAGGAGAGTCCATGGTAGGAGGTGAGGAGAAAGGTATATGAGCTGTGTCATTAATGGAATCAGGAACGAACCTTACTGGAAATAAAAGAGACTTTGTGGTTATGCAAGAAAAAGGAAAAATGTTTTCATGAAAGACAACATTTCTGAACACTAAAATTTTCTGAGAAGGAAGACTAAGTAATTTATATCCCTTCTTCCCAAAAGAATATCCCAAAAACAAACAGGTTTTCGCCCTAGGGTCCAATTTAGAACTTCCTGATGATACAGTAGAGGCAAATCCTAGACAGCCAAAGCATCAAGGATAAAATAATCGGGTGTAGTCCCAAAAAGCTTTCCAAAAGGATTTTTGAAATGTAGGATTCTCGTAGGACACCTATTTATCAAAAAAGTGGTTGTCATGAGACAGTCCCTCCAGAATTTGTGGAAGTTTAGATTGAAGTAACAGGGCTTTTGACACCTCCAAAAAATGTCTATGTTTGCGTTCTACTATGTCATTTTGTTGTGGTGTGTCCACACTGGATGTTTGATGTAGAATGCCCCAAGAATTTAAGAAAGAGCAATACTCAAAACTACTACCCGATTCCTAGGCATGATCGTACCTGATGATATTAACCCTTTTATTGAATTTTGTTTCAATTATGATGAGAATAGATTTCAAAATTATAAAGCAATGCTTTTGGTGGCCAACAAATAAGTCCAGGTTTCCCTTACTATAGTCATCAACTATAGTAAGGAAATAGTTGAAACCATCATTAGTCGGAACTTTATATGATCCCCAAGTGTCAATATGGATTAAATTAAAAGGTTGTTTGTTTAGCTTGCTTAGCCAGAGGAAAAGTATCACAAGGGAAACTGAATTTAGAACAAACTGAATTAGAAATTCCATTGATGTTTTTCATGTTGGATAAAGGCATGTGACCTAACCTAATGTGCCACAGCCTACTGTTTACATCAGAAAAGGAAAGAACTTCTGTCAATTCTATGACTTGACTGACTTCAGACTGGAATGAACCATCCAAGAAATCTTTCGCCCTAAGTAAGATCTAACTTGCTTTCTCCCGGGATTCTCTTATATAACCAACCAAGCCAGGGGAAGGGCTAGCCTAGAAGACAAACTACAAGGCAAAATGCCTTTTGATTGAGAAACAGAACTATCATAAGTAGTACTAGGATTGATAGTATTAGAGACTACCAGAGAACTGGGCTGCAACACGTAGAGACCATTTTGGAAATCACCAAGGACCTTGGGGCTCTTCATTGAAGGGCCCTGTATCAGACAATGAGAGGAATTAAACATAAGATGATAACCAAACTAAAGGCATAGTTTGTGAAGAGAGAACGAACCAAACATCATGAATTACTATTTGTGTAAAAAGCTTGACAGAACCTCCATGAGTGACCTCAACATTTTGAGAATTTGGTAGTTGTACAAAGATAAATCTAGTCAAAGGTAATAAAGAAAGCGATAGATCCTTATTGAAACTCATGCTCTCAGTTGCACCCGAGTCTATTATCCAAGATTTCCTACGGATGGTAGTCCTCAAATGATTTGAACTAAAAGGGAAAGGAATGTGAATTGTACCAGCACAATTGTTACTAGCAGAAGCAAGGGAATTAGTGCCATAATCATCAGGTTTTATTTGGTGAAGCAACAATATCACTTGTTCCAACTATTCCTTAGTAAGAGGCTTGCGTTTTCTCACTCGTATCCCTATTATACATGAACTGAGCCCCATATCCTTCATTGCGGAGCACTGTATTACATGGACATAATTTTGAAAAGATTTTTTCTTAGTCAACTTAAAATTGGATGGAAAACCATGTATTTTATAGCACTTATCAATGGTGTGTCCATGGTTTTTGCAATATCTGCAAGTCAATCCATATTTTCTGTGTTCAGTGAAAAAACCTCTGCCTTTATAGATTTGAAGAATTTGGCCTCTGATTTCCACTATTTTGTCCTACCCGATAGAAGAAGAAGACTCTCTTGGGTATTTAGGAGTGTTGTGCATTTTTCTTTTTTTCCTCTTGCATCAAAAGACCCTATGCATTAGCTATGCAAGGAAGAGGTGAGATCATGAGGGAAGCAAGTCCCATCAAGAACCGTACCAACCTCGCATCTTGTTTCACTTTAATATTTCTACCTCTTACTTCAAAGGTGTAAAGAATTGAAGCATCTAAGTTGTCGACTTCATCTTATAGACTTTTCATCTTGGTATAGTAGATTGCAATGTCAGTCGCACCTTAAACAAGATCACTCAGCGTTTTTTGTAGCTGAAATAGCTTAGCCCCGCTTCTTTATCCTAAATCTACACCTGAAGGTCACTCTAAAGTTCTTTAGCAGTAGAGAAATATATAACACTCTAATAAATTTCACGAGAAAGAGAATTCAAGAGCCAAGATACTACCCTATTATAGGCCCTAAGCCAAGCCTTATGCAGCTCTGAATCAGGTGTTGGTTTAGGAGAGGAACCATCAATCAAACCTATCTTGTTCTTAGCAGTCAAAGCAATAAAAAATTCTCGTTTGCAACCTGTAAAACCCTTCATATTAAATGGGGTATTAACAAGAAGCATCCCTGGTATAAAATGTGAGATGTATAAGGATGAGAAAAATTGATATGATTTACTATTGTGTGAACAACAGTCTCAGAAGATGTAGAAGAATTTGTAGTGGTAATATAAAACCATCTCAAAAGATCTTCAAACAAAAATTGATATAGATTCAAGAGGAAGAAAAATATATGCAAAAAGCTTTGAGTAGGTTTCTTCACAGGACCTGCTGTGATACCATATTGGAAAAGAGACGAAACAATTTGGAAATATTGTCTTCTGTATTTTCTCTTTTGATGTGCATCATTTCATTATGTAGAGAATAAAATCTAACTACCTGGACAAATGACCACTAACTATTTGTTATTCCTTGACAAACTAATTTGATGTATAAAATAATATTTCCAATACACTGCAACAGATAAGAAGAAAATACAAAATACAATCTAGAAGCTTTCGTAGGAGGTTCTAGGTGTATATCAACGAGGACACGTGTACGCTCAAGATTACGCTGGAACTTCTTCTTTGATTTTGAAAAGTCCGCCTTATCATTATCATTCTGTTTTTCAATAAAATTCAATAGATGCTTTTTCATAAGCTCTACCTCCGTCCTCAGTCGTAGTAAAAGTTCCAAGCCACACTCTAGCTTCCCTTCTTAGATTTCCAATTTCCGTAGCCCATTTTCCCAATGATCTATGTCACACTCCTATGTAATTTTTCTTCTTCCAACAATCTTTGATGTGCTGTTGTAGTTAACATCGACCGCCATTGATGATGTTGCAAAATAATTGCAGCCTAAACATGTTCTCAAGGACCTTGACACAACCATTTGGTGGAATATCTTTTCATATAACCATGATAAGATCTCAAAACCAATACGGATTATAATCATTAGTGAACTTGAAATAACCACCACACACTCATAAGGCACACACGCTCATAGGTATTATCAATATTTCCTTCTAACAACATAAACTTTTCTCAAGCTTAAATTATAAAAAATTAATCTTTGGACATCTGATACTCATCAAGGGAGAACAAAACTTATCTAACCCAAAGAAAAAGAATGATCTAGTAACCACCCATCGAGCGATACACCCAAGCATACATAACCTCTAATAACATTATCAAATTCCTAGATTAATAACTATTATAAACAAATCATAAGAATGACAAAACTAGATTGAAAGGTCCTCACATTCAATCTCACATAGTCAAAACATGATATTGATGATGAGATAAATCTTAAGTCCATTGAACAACTTTAAATTTTCATGGTAGCTATCCTATAAATTCTCATAAATAAAATTGTGCATGTAGAATTACTAGTGTACTTCAACTATCCCAAACAACATCAAATCTTCCACAACTGAATCAACAAGTCTAACCTAGGATGCCGCCTTACCAGGAGGACAATCACATAATTGATACATAACCCAGGTTGAATCACTCTAGATACTTCTTCCATAGTGTCCATATCAAATATTTTCATTCATCTGACTCTATCTCTTTGATTTTCCATCTATCCACAATCACTAATTTAGTCCCTATTATTAGTGCGCAAATACTTGGTTTATCAAACCCCACATTCACTGAACTCAACACTTTAATACTAACAAAACATCATAACCACACTAATCATCTACCTTACTCCCAAACCATCATCAAAATTAAAGTATTTTTACAAAATACATGTTCAAAATATGGTTATATCTCTTTCTATTTAAGCATTTCATGAAAAGTACGAGTCTAAAACAAGGCTAGTAGCACTAATTCAAAATTTATAGTACCTTTCCATCAAGATAAAACTATAAAATCACACTCAAAATTAACTCCACACCACTTCCACATACCATGCTTTAGCTAAATTTGTAAACCATCACATACCTCATGCCAACACTTAGAAAAATTCTCGGTCACTCAAATTATTCGGTATACTATAAACTCATTATCTCTATTCACCATCAAATGTCTATTTAATGCATCTTAACATTCTATGTAGTCCTATTAATAGAGGAGTATTAACCCAACTCTAAATTATTATTAACCATGTAGAATTATATATCATCTTGTACATCATTCGTAAGTTATTTAACATAATTTGAGAAATCTAACCCCACTTAAAAGACTAAATTTTCCATACATCACTATTTGTCACCCAAATCAAAACTCAATCTTTATAAAAGTCAATGATAACCTCCTAGTAAGTCTGTACCGAACTTGTTCAAATCTAACAGTCATATCTAAATATGTAGGCAAAAATCAATATAACCTTCAACTACACCCCAAGGATTTATTTGAGAGGTCTTATTCATTCATTTTCCTCAAATTCTTCTGATGATGCAAAATTCTAAATATCTTGACCCTTGAATTTATCCGACTCTTGTTTCTCTAGCTGACTTACCGATCTTATCCTTTTACCAACAACCCGTAACACTTTACTTCACACTCTAAAATCAAAACTCTGATGGAAACCCTCCCTTAGATCCTTTAACAATAAAAAATAACAAACTTTATGGTTCAAAACATGAATAAGTTCTTTCACATGCTCAATACCGATGCAATCAATCATTTTTTTATCTTACCAATTCATATCTTGACTAAACATATCACCATAAATGTAGACATATAATAAAAAATTTGAATTGTAAACTCAACTGTGTAACTCAATCCTCTTATCTATCATCATTTGCTCATACATTGAAGATTTTTAAGAATTCTATATCTAAACTTATTATTGATTGTCTCTTCATAGATCTTACCATATCCTCCGCTAAAAATTAAATAGTACTCATTAGTAAACTCAAAATCACAAAAGAACTTATCGTCACATTCGTGTTGAACGTATGTACACTCTTTTCTCAAGTCTTATCCAAAAAAATTTAACCAATTTGATGAACATGTGATACTATTACCTTAACAAAAACAAAATAGATAAAATCATACGTCCCTAATCTAATTCTCTACCCTTTGAAGATACATTTTTAGCCCTTGTAGTAAGAGAAACTATTTTTGCTCTCCCCTATTTTTGAAGGCTACACATCCCACAAATTCGAGCGGTGGCCCAACATCCCCTAAAACGTTCCATTAAACAACATTACTCCCTAAATAGTAGAAAATCACAACCTTAGATACTCACAAGTCTTTATTACCATACAAAATTCACTTATCCAACAAATCCAAATACTGTAGTTTCATCCCAATGAAATTCCCTCACAATTTTTTTTAACATCATGCTCAGTTAGCCCTTGTCATCACTACGAAGTGAAATTTTTCCTTGACCTGACACCTTAAACATAGGGACTAAACCAACTTTATACTCACATTTAATAAAATCTTCAATTTACTTTGCATAAGTATATTCACTAGCACTTTCTTTCCCTATAAATTTGTCATTCTAGTATCAATCTACCCTTTGAAGGTTAACATAAAATCACATGTCCTCATTTAGAACCCTCAATATACATCTCACAACCTAAATGTATTAATATTGTACCAAAGATCTACCACTAAAATTTTTCATAAAAATAATGCTCAATCTAACCGCCCGTAGTAATAACTAGTTGCTTTCTCAAATGTGAAAACAATAACGAATCTCACTATCTAAACATGTCATAAAACTGATGAATCTTTAAGTAGTTAGTATTCACACTTGACAAACATTATATTCGTTTCCACGTAACACTAGTATTGTACCATGAAAGGCCATTAAATCCATCACTAGAACACATCATACTTATCGAGAAGCTCGTACACAAATAGTCCACACATTTCTACCCATTGAATAGTTGTAAAATATTACTCAATTTGTTCCTTCTTTAGCCCAAGCAATTGGAATTCTTTCTTAGATTAGGTTGATAACAAAAGTAACACACTTTGTAAATCTAACCAAGTAATCGTTGGTACTATCATGAGACTCTTTAAAATACAATCAATGCCTGAACTCATAATAAAAATTTAACTTCAATTGGCACAATCTAATTTCATCATTCACTAACCAACTCATACATGTTATGAAAACTTCACCGACTGTATTTTCTAAAGTAAAGATATTTATTTTCTAGTTGTCACTTACAAAACTTCTTGAATGTTGTTACATATCTAGATAAAGTACAAAATATGATCTCATAGGCTGCAACACATATCTTTCATTTCACTAGATTCACGAAATCATCCTCCTTCTATTGCTCAAAGTTTAGGGCATATAATTGGATGAAGAAGCCAGAAAAAGATGCCTTAAGTCATATGTAGTGCCTTTACTAATCGTCACTCAACATGAGGCTACCACTAAGCCCCTTCACTATATTCATTTTATGAAGCAAGTCAAAATAATCAACAACGAAAGCATAAGCATCTTCAAAATTAATAAGAATGAGGGTTTCAATTTTATGAACTTAGTAAAAAAATCATGCTGATCACTAGTCATTACACGCCCTGTAGTCAATCAAGAAAAAATACATATTTTCAAGGACACATTTTTTTTTGTGTTGATATTTCAACTTCTAATACTCTAGTACCTAAGCAGAGTGTTTAAGTTCAGATACCAAGTTGTATCACCTAGGTATTACTTGGAATCAAGTAGTATCACGAAAGAAAGAAGGAATGAAGTTTTCCTAAAATCCTATAGCCTCTCGAAGAAAAGTAAAGCGTCTCCAAACTATTCTGCAAGACTCTACTAGAATTGACCTGTGATGAGATCATCGAACCTAACGCTTGATACCATGTTTGTCACGATCCAAATTGAGTCGTGAGTGACACCCAACCTCCTAAGTGGGCGAACCAAGGAATTCAACTTCAACATATACTAATAATGCAACTACAAATAATAACAATAGTACAGAAGATCCTAACTTAATATAGTAACTAATCAAATAAACCTCTAAAGTCTTTTACATATTATTTCCAAAATCTGAAATTCATCACATTAAGGACATTTAATCTTCAAATACTAAGTAAGAGTATCAAAGACATCAAAATAAATGAAATAAAGTAATTTGTGATAAAAAACTAAGGACACCAAGTCATGACCGTGAAAATCCAATACAATCTCAAATGAATAGCTCGCCCGTCAACCTGATATGCTGAGACTGGCTAGAGCTTAAGGCGAGTCAAAGTTGCTGGTACACTCGTTGCACTCCACTAAAGGAAAATGAAGAAAAACACAAGTAAGGCAGTATGGAGTAATATGTACTGAGTAGGTATCAACGGCCAACCCAAAATAGAAATTAATATACAATGAATAATACTATAAAATCAACTATGACACTTAACAGGTGGCAATCAACAAACAACATAAACCAGTGACAGCAACACTAAAGTGAGTACTTAATCGATCAAAATATCAAACACATATGGGGACTCATGCCTCCACACCACGCTCATTTGGGAAATGGGTTATTTTAGATCGAGTACATTAAGTTAATTCAATATCTTTTTCCTTTAATGTTACCGTGTCGAAGCGTAACACTACGATCCAATTATACCGTGTCAGAACGTGATACTCCGATCCAATATTCAGTCAATCATTTATTATCACCACTTATCAATTCATTAACAATATTTCATCAAGTCTTCTTTATTCCAGGCATCAGTTCGATAGAGAGGGTTCAAGATTATAAATTTCATGGTCTCACGATTTCAGGCCCCACAAACCACAAAACCAAGTTACACAATCGCACAATCAAGTACATAGAGTACTACACAATATCATTCAATACATATTAATCACTATTGAAAGTTTATCTATCAAATAGAATAAACCATAACTTACCTCCACGAAAGATCTGAAATCAAACAAGCTACTTTCTCATTACTTTTCCTTTCCTTAATGCCTCCAAACCTTTCAATTCTATGAAGTATATAAAATTTGTACATTAACGAGTATATAAACACCCAAATCTATAATTAATTTTCTAAAGTTCAAGCCGAAGAATATTCTAAGTTCTTTCTATTAGCGTAACTTTAATGAAGTTAAAATAATACAATACACTGATATTTAATTATCTATCTCAATACATCAACATATAATTTGTAATAAGATAAAACATTTTAATATTTAAAGGTTCGAGCCACTGGTTACGAAACCAGTGGCAACACCTCCATCTATACAATTACACTTTAATACTCTAATTCTTTACATTATTAATGTTCTGTCCTAACTTTTCTCTCACCATTCATCTAACATCAAATACTATACATATGCACACTTTCACTTTATAACGTACTTCCTCCGTTTCAAAAAGGATGGTCTAATCTGATTTGAAACAGAGTTTAAGAAAGAAAGAAAACTTTTTTATCTTATAGCTCTAAATTAATGTTATGTCAAATATACTAAAATGCCCTTAATTTCGGAATATTAAATATGCCAGGTGGAAAAGTAAAATTAAAGTGTTGTCAAAAAAAAAATTAATCATTCTTTTTGTAAAAGACTAAAAAAAACATATGAACATTTTTTTTAAACAGATGGAGTAATATAATAATATTAAAAAATAATTAAAGTTTCGGCCGTTGGTTACAAAACCAGTGGCACTACCTCTGAGCCACGTACAAATCCTACCACGGAAGAAATCCACTCACATACAGTACTCATCAAACTACACTAATAATTTACAATATAATACTCTTATAATCATACAATATAGCATGGCCACTAAGTTACAATAAGTAACTTGTATTGGAGAACAATGTGCATAAGCCAAAACAACCACATATTCATTCCCTTAAAGCTTGTCCATTACTGTTAATGGTCATTCCCATCATTAAATAATTAATCCTACAATCTATGTCATACATATAAAATCTACGAAGGTTGATTCTTTACCTGAAATTATCGTCCTTTCTTCGAGGTTACAGTCTGCAGATATGATTACTGCCTAAAACTTATTTCTTTTTACAGAATATTTACTACTTTGGTTATTATTTAAGCCTAATTTTGAGAGTAGTAGAAATTATCCACTATTAATTCTAATGTTATTTATTTTAACTATCAACTAAATAAATTATAAAAACTATCCCATTAATTCTATAATTGCAATTACGAATAATTTAAAATGTCTCTTTAAATCAAAAAGTATTTAATGAAATAAAAAACTCTAATACTCAAAACAACCAAAAGGTTCGTTACAATTATTGTACTAGGTAAATTACCCGTGTTTCGCATGAGATTGAACTATTTTACCAAGCTTGCATATGATCATTCGTAATATTCGTATTTTTGATACATACACTATACTCTTAATAACATTTTGTTCTAAGACAAATTGTTCCTCGAAATCTTAAAGTGCTATATTTTTTTAATTTTTTATTTTTGTTATACAAAAATTATGAGTCATAGATATATTTTAAGTATAAGAAAATCTCCCTTGGTTTGATGTAGTGAAATTTGTTAAGTTCCAAGAAGTTATAACGAACAACATCAAACGTTAAAAAAAGAGACAAAAAATGTCAACCAACAACACTGCCAAGTAAAGTAGAACATCACATCCATATAAGATCATAATTTACTAAATTCAAATGGATGACCTTGGACTCCTTTCTTATGAACCTCCAATCTCATTTTTTATTATTGTATGCAAGTATATGCTAAAACTGACTCTAAAGTTATTATTATAAATGTTTCTTGTCATTGTCTCAAAATCGTCATTACTATTTTTAAGGTTTCATATCACAGGCCCCAACATATTTGGACTAAACCATAGTTATTATTATGGTTATAGTATGCAGTTACAAAAAAAAATAATGCTATTATCAACCAAGCACTAGGTTATATCTAAATGTTCAAAACGAGGTATGGTAAATCAAAATTATGACACATAACATATTAAAATCTCAAAACATAATTTTGTGAGCACTTGAACTCACAAATATCCAGAAATAATATTAAAAAGAATCTTACTTTCCTAACAATCAAGAAGAAAAAGGCATGTTGCTTAATACACTTTTCAAAAGATAGTCTTTCGGGTTGTATTCAAGTTTACAGTTTACAATTTAATTGAAGAAAACAAAAAAAAGAGTTATTTCTGTTTACATCCCTACTCTTTCGAAATAGGACGAAACGTCGCGGCAACTCGAAAATTATTAATTGATTCAAAATAAACGAGTTTTAAAAGAGTCGCCACCTAATTTTAGGAAAACTAGGAAACCAATTATTAAAGCAAAGTCTACGAAACCAATTGATTCTAGATTAGGGGGTTCAAGTTATTCCGAAGGGAAGGGGTTAGGCACCCTTCGGAATCCACAAATATGGTTACCGACTGAATTCATTTTTTTTCAAATTGAGGAAGAATATAAAATAATGTACAGATATAATAAACACACAATATACACAATAAAATAAAATAAAATAATAATTATCGGCCTAAAGTTTGCCTAACGTCAATACTCATATAATAATGAAATAAAGTACGGTTCGAACTTCATTCGAATAATTTAAGGAGATGCACCTCCGGGTACCTGTAAACACTTAGTAAAAGAGTTAGTACCAAATAAATACAAATAAAAATGAATAACTCAAAAAAAAAATTCGTCTTATTAACATGGGAGGCCTTGGAAATCGACGGTAATTTCTTCATCGGCCAATTTCAACAACTAAAATATATAAACTTAAATTAAAATTCCGTCTTTTAATATTGGGGAGGCCTCTAAACCCGACGGGTAGATTTTTCATCAGCCCACTTTCAACATATAAAATATATAAACTTGAAT